GAACCTGCCCACGCCCCCCACCTGGCCCCCTCCTGCTCTGGCATTCCCACCCCGAGAGAACTCTGTTCTTGGGACCTCCCACTCGACAAATTCTGGCCCAGATCATACCCACGCCCCCCACCTGGCCCCTGCCTCGTTTGGCATTCTCACCCCGAGAGAGTTCTACCCTTGGGACCCCCCACTCGACAACTTCTGGCCCAGAACCTACCCACGCTCCCCACCTGGCCCCTTCCTGGTCTGCCATTCTGACCCCGAGAGAACTCTGTTCTTGAGCACCCCCACTCAACAACTTCTGGGCCAGATCCTACCCACGCCCCCCACCTGGCCCCTTCCTGGTTTGGCATTCTCACCCCGAGAGCACTCTGTTCTTGGGGCACCCCACTCGACAAATTCTGGCCCGGATCCTACCCACGCCCCCCACCTGGCCCTCTGCCTCGTCTGGCATTCCACCCCGACAGAATTCTGTTCTCGGACCCCCCACTCGACAAATTCTGGCCCGGATCATACCCACGCCCCCCACCTGGCCCCTTCCTGGTCTGGCATGCTCACCTCGAGAACACTTTTTCCTTGGGACCCATCACTCGACAAACCCTTCGCCCAGACCCTCCCCACGCTCCCCACCCGGCCCCTGCCTCGTCTGGCATTCTCACCTCGAGAGAACTACCCTCCACTCGACAAATTCTGGCCCAGAACCTACCCACGCCCCCCACCTGGCCCCTGCCTCGTCTGGCATTCTCACCCCGAGAGAACTACCTTCTTGGGACCCTCCACTCGACAAATTCTACTCTTGGGACCCCCCACTCGACAAATTCTGGCCCAGAACCTGCCCACGCCCCCCACCTGGCCCCCTCCTGCTCTGGCATTCCCACCCCGAGAGAACTCTGTTCTTGGGACCCCCCACTCGACAAATTCTGGCCCAGATCATACCCACGCCCCCCACCTGGCCCCTTCCTGGTCTGGCATTCTCACCCCGAGAGAGTTCTACTCTTGGGACCCCCCACTCGACAACTTCTGGCCCAGAACATACCCAATGCTCCCCATCCTGGCCCCTTCATGGTTGCCATTCAACCGAGAGAACTCTGTTCTTGACCCCGAGAGAACTCTGTTCTTGAGCACCCCCACTCGACAACTTCTGGGCCAGATCCTACCCACGCCCCCCACCTGGCCCCTTCCTGGTTCGGCATTCTCACCCCGAGAGCACTCTGTTCTTGGGGCCCCCCACTCGACAAATTCTGGCCCAGAACCTACCCACGCCCCCCACCTGGCCCCTCCCTCGTCTGGCATTCTGACCCCGACAGAATTCTGTTCTCGGACCCCCCACTCGACAAATTCTGGCCCGGATCCTACCCACGCCCCCCACCTGGCACCTTCCTGGTCCGGCATGCTCACCCCGAGAACACTTTTTCCTTGGGACCCATCACTCGACAAACCCTTCGCCCAGACCCTAACCACGACCCCCACCCGGCCCCTGCCTCGTCTGGCATTCTCACCCCGAGAGAACTGTAAGGAAAGGCGACGCTTCAAAGACACCTGATTGGGCGACGGATAAATGCAATACTGAGTGTATCGATCTTGATGTAACATGCCGAAGGATGTGCTGTGATGCGCCGTGCTGAATTGCGATGTGCCATGCCGAGATTGTGCCTTGTAGCGTTGTAGATCGAGTCCTCCTTTTGCATCCGAATCCTGACCGAACTGATCTAGATCTTAAGCTCGACCTGCCTGAACACTTAGTAGCTGCCCCAAAACAAATTGACAAGGGAACATGCCAGGAGGACGCGCCGCGAAACGTCCCAAAGGACGCGCCAAATGACGTGCCAGGGGACGTGCCACGGGGACGCACCGCGGGACGTGCCGAGGGGACGCGCTACGGAACGTGCCAATGGACGTGCCACGGGGCGTGCCAAGGGACGCGCCGCGCGACGTGCCAGGGGGCTCGTCGCGGGACGTGCCACGGAACGTGCCAAGCTGCAATGCTGAGTGTATCGATCTTGATGTACCGTGCCGAGGGCTGTGCTGTGCTGCGCCGTGCTGAATTGCGATGTGTCATGCCGCGAGTGTGCTCTACAAGGTTGTGAATCGAGTCCTCCTATGCATCCGAATCCTGACCGAACTGATCTGGATCGTAAGCTCGAGCTGGCTGAGCACATAGTAGCTGCCCCAGAACTAATTGATAGGGGAACATGCCAGGAGGACGCGCCGCGGAACGTCCCAAAGGACGCGCCAGGCGACGTCCCAGAGAACGTGCCATGGGGATGCACTGCGGGACGCGCCAAGGGGACGCGCTACGGAACGTGCCAATGAACGTGCCACCTCATGCTAGACATCTGCCTGGGCGAACTGGACACGTGAAAACACGTGGTTCGCTCGAGACATCCTCCACAAACATTCACATGTTAGATACCACCCTGGGCGGCCTGGACACGTGAACACAGAGACCTGGCCAGGAACGGGCAGCTGTAAAGGCAGCCATGCGCCTGGCAACTTCGGCGTCGCCCATTAGCTACAGAACACGACAACACAAAACACCGAAAACAGTACCCCAATTTGGGGTCGGCGGCAGAGGCGGCAGCCTTTAGATGAGGAGTAGGAAGAGGAGGAAGAGGAGGGGGAAGAGGAGGACGAGGAGGAGGACGAGGAGGAGGAAGGGGAGGAAGAGGACGAGGAGGAGGAAGAGAAGGAGAAGGAGGAAGAGGCCGCTCCCGCGCGTCAGTTCTGGGGGAACTGTCCCGTTCGGGGGACTGGGGCACGGCGCCGGCTCCCGCACAAAGAGCTCGGGGCGGACACGGGACAAGTTTCTCGTCCCAAGTCGTTTTTCGAGGGGGGGCCGAGTTCCCCCAAAGGGGCACCCAGCAAGACCTCCCTGTTGTTTGTTCCGCGGCGCGAGGGGGTCTGGGTCCCCTTCTTTCCCTCGTCTCTCAGACGAAGCCAGGACGAGGATGAAATCAGGTCGGGCATGTCCTCCTTCAGGCGGATGTTGCAGGAACAAAAAAACATATAGTCAAAGTAAGCATAAAAAATCAGAACGGTGCGAAAAATCGTGCCCTGACTATTTCTTGACTGTTCTCGAATATTCCGCCTGTAGAGGGACAGGCCCGACTTACGGGTAAGATCAAACGAAGATAGATCGGGCGTGGTCAGACTCGCTCCTGGTTTAGTGATGTGTGCTGGGGGACGCACCCCCCCCCGGTTCCACTAACTGGAATTGCCGTCACCCGAAAAAAACAGCAGCTACAGCAGACCTGGTTTATTGGTGATTATGTAATCGAGTGACCCTGGCAAATTGGGGCTCCGGGGCCCAATTGCTAACCGGGTCCCCTTACCTGGGGTCCTGGCTGCACCTGAATAAACTTCGGGGATCTTCTGACCCGGGTCAATCCAAACCCGGGTCAGCAGGAAGCCAAAAACTGCAATGCAAGGAAAAAATGCAACGCAAGTCTTCGCAAACCCGGGTCAGCCAATAGGCGCGGCCGCCTCGCGGCCACAAGCGGCTCGCTAACCCGGGTCAGCCAGAGGGGGTCTTCGCAGGATCCTGCAAGATCTGGCGCTCTGGCTGACCCCCGTTTGCATTGACCCCCATTTCAAGGCTCCCGAAAAATCGAGAATCTCTGAGATCCAGCTGGCCTGAAGGCTGCCTCGGGCGCCACGGCCTGCTCAGAGCGTTCTGGAGCGGATTTGTCCGCGTCCTAGCCTCTCCGATTGTCCCTGGACGGTTTCCCCTGGGCCGTACGACCCGAGGAGGGGAGGGCGAAAGACAGGGGGAGGATGAGGAGGAGGAGGAGGAAGAGGAGGAGGAGGAGGAAAAGGAGGAGGAGGAGGAGGAGGAGGGGGAGGAGGATGAAGATGAGGAGGGGGGGGAGGGGGAGGGGGAGGAGGAGGGGGAGGAGGGGGAGGAGGAGGAGGAGGAGGAGGAGGAGGAGGGGAGGAGGAGGAGGAGGAGGAGGAGGAGGAGGAGGAGGTGGAGGAAGGCTGCCTCGGGAGCCACGGCCTGCTCGGAGCGCTCTGGAGCGGACTTATCCGCGTCCTAGCCTATCTCCGATCCTCCCTGGACGGCTTCCCCCGTGGCCGTACGACCCGAGGGGGGGAGGGCGGGGGACAGGGGGAGGAGGAGGAGGAGGAGGAGGAGGAGGAGGTGGAGGAGGAGGTGGAAGAGGGGGAGGGAGAGGAGATGGAGGTGGAGGTTGAGGAGGAGGGGGAGGAGAAGGAGGAGGAGGAGGAGGAGGACGGGCCGCCTAAGCCATTCTGAGAAACCCTCCAATTCTCCCCCCCAATTGAGCAAGGACCGATCGTACTGGCTTTCCGACAGGCCTACCACGACATGTTCTTCGGACCCAGAAGTGTCCGAAGAACAAAAACCAGGTTCTTAGAACACAATCCCGATGTGTCGAAACGACACAGCCTCAGCCAGAAACGTTCTAAAAACACGTCGTGCAAACGAGGAAAAGTCTCTTAGACAATGTGTTGGGGGGGGTATCGTGTTTGATTCAATGTTTTGCCGATCGGCGCTGGCCCTCGCACGCCCCCCTTCCTTCCCCCCCATGGAGTGGGTCTTGGCTGTTTGGGGCGCCTGTTTCGAGCAAGGAGCCCCTCCCCCGTAGGACGCACTGCTGCAAAAAGTCGCACTAGGCAGAGGTCCAGAGCCAGATACCAAGGGCTCCCAACTTCGCGCTTCGCGCTGCGCAAAGCGCGAAGCGCGAATGGCTTCGCGCTCTCGCGCCGCCTCCCAGGGCAGGAGAGGAGGAGGAATCGGAGCCGAACCGCGAAGCGCGAAGCGCGAAGAACTTCGCGCGCCCTCGAGGGTGGCCTTTGACACCCCCCCTCCCCCCCTTCCGCCCAATGTTATGTCGGGCGTGTCCCCCAACAGGGGAATGTTCGACACACAAAAAAACACAAATGCCCCAAGAAGGTCCAAAAATAATACTTAAAATAGTCCACATACTATTTTGGGACTATTTGTGAGTTTTTTATTTGTCGTCGAAAATCCCCCTGTAGGGGGACAGGCCCGACCTAAGCCCAATGCGGAAAAACGCCGAAAAACAAGACGCTCACCAGTCGAGCCAGGACGCTCCGCCGCTCTTTGCCCCCCGCGCGGCACGGACAAGCGCGCCCCGCCGCGGCCCTCGGCCGGAGGCCACGGGGCGGGGCCATATGGGCTCAGGCGGCCGGCGCCGCCCGGAAGCGGTCGAGGAAGCCGCACACCAGATCGGCGGCCTGCGGGTCGCAAGGGCTCCCAACTTCGCGCTTGGCGCTGCGCGAAGCGCGAAGTGCGAATAACTTGGCGCTCTCGCGCCGCCTCCCAGGGGAGAAGGGGAGGATGAGGAGGAATCGGAGCCGAACGGCGAAGCGCGAATAACTTCGCGCCCCCGAGGGCGCCCTTGGGTCGTCGCACGATCGTCGTCGTCAGTCGTCGGTCGGGGGGGAGCAGCAGGTCAAGGAAAGAGTGCATACACGTCCGTCGGAAGAAGAAGGTAAAAACATGAAGTAGGAAGGCGGATGCAGTGGATTGGGTCCAGGCCCTCCCAGAGAATAACAAAACACAGCAAAAACATGTCGATTCTTGAAGTAGGAAGGCGCTTGAAGTAGACTGGGATCCGGGAATCCAAAAATACCTAGTTTCAACGAGCGGCGTGTAAGCATAACCATCGGGGCTCCGTGCGGATTTCTTGGATCTGCGCTAGAGCCACCTCCCTGGCGCGCGGAGCGCACGGTTGGCGGTGCCAGAGGCGCCGCCAGAGGGTCCCAGTGCGAATCTGAGGGGCAACCATAGGGGAGACTGCCATAGGGGGGCGCATCGACCTGGAATCGGTGATACATCGCCGCCAAATCGGCGATTGGCCCCCGATAGTGAATCCGCACTCTCCTGGGCACGTTGGGGCCATCGGGCCCTTATCGGCGATCAATGGGCGATATCCCCCACTATGCCTATCCCCCCAGATCGTTGCCCCTGAAGATTGAACAAATCCGCGCAGAGTTCCGAAAGCCTTTGTTTATGCAGTTTGCCCTCTTCGAATTGAAAGAATACGGCAGGATATGTGAACCCCTATCCCAAACTCCGTCGGGTTCCGAATGGACCAGAAATTTCGGGCCCAACTCAGGTGTATAGAACAGGGGGCCGTCCATCCTCGGTAGGGGTGTCAGTGCACGAATACCCGTATACAGACAAACACGCACACACACACACACACACTGGTTGGGCGGTGGAGTCCTCGCGCGCGGCGGCAAGGCGGAGCAAGTCAAATACTGCGGCCGAAGCCAATGCCGGTGCCCGCGCGCCGGCTCAGAAGCGGCAGCACATTGCCATCTGGACGCGTGGAGGGGAGACGGAAGACAGCAGTGGCCGCTGCCCAAGGGGACGCCCCACATGGGAGACACACGGAATCACATATACACACACACACCACATGCAAATGATACACGCCCGTCTGGCACGCACCCCGCATGCACGCCGTGCACACTCTCACACACACACACACACACACACACACGCACACACACATGCACACATACACATACGATGGGTACCAACGAATCGCCGCCGATGGGCGCCCGTCAGCGTGTGCCCCCTCGTTTTTGTCCGAAGATTTGGTGTTTGGCATGTGCGCTCGGCCGCCACGCTTTACGAGCATTTAAATCTTCAAAATGGAAATCATATTTGTTGCTTGTTTCTATTATAATGATAATAAGCGGAATCAAGGCTTCCCAAGCCCATCAAACATGTGAATGCGACTTTTGGGCCGAAGCCAGCGGGAAGGCTGGCGCTGGCCTGCAAGGGGCCACACAAACTACCAAAACGTTTTTTTACAAACAAAATGTCCTAGGGAACGGGCGCGACAAGTGGACCCATGCCCGCCCAGACCCGACGCCCCTTCGGCAGCAGCACGCTGGAGGGGCCCCCATAGCAGCATGCTGTTGATACTGCCTTTGCACCCCCCCCGTCGTCGTCGTCGACTCGCACCGTGAAGAGGTCACGACGACAGGTTCCTGGCAAAGGTCGGCCTGCCTGGGGCCCCTCGACCGCCGGCCAGCGGCCCCGGGGCTAGAGGCCGCTCCCCCGGCAGGAATCTGGGCCTCCGTGGAACCACGAGGGGAACCACTCACGGCGTTCCATGGATGTCCGGGTCCTTACATTTTTTTCGCCTCCGCATCCTGTCCCATCCTTCCTCCTGCTCCTCCTCCTCCTCTTTCCTTATCTGTCCTCCTGCTCCTCATCCTCGCCCCCCTCCTCCTAGACTCGACATTGCGGAAAACGTTCGATCCTAACCACCTACAGCGTGGGAGCCGCACTGCTCCTGCTCCTCAGCAGCAGCGGCGGCGGCGACTGCAACGGCGGCGAGCGCGGCGGCGAGGGCCGCCGCGCGGGGCCTGTCGTCGGGAAGGCGCGCCGGTAGAGGAACCACCACTGGGCCTGACGACGGAAGCCTCAAGACAGGATCACCGCCTCCCGCGCGGACAAGACGACCCGTCTGCCACGGCTCGCACACGGGATGCCACTTGTGATTAACTTGGTACCTCCCCAGAGCCAGCCCCCTGAGCACCCGCCCCTACCACGAAAGGGCTGGCGCGGGCCCTGGGCAGGCGACGGACAAGGCTGGAACAGTGCCTGGCCCGCTCGCGCCACAGACAGCGCATGCAACGCACCACTGTCCCGCGCTGGCCAGCTTGAAACGATGGACAACATGGGGCCGGCCCCCACGCAGAGGCCACGCGAGCGTGCCCGAGATCAGCCACGAGCAGGCTGCTTGGGGTGACCAGAGGCTCTGGGGGCAGGATGGCGAGCGCAAGAGCACGGGGGTTCGCCTCGCGCCGCCTGGACACGCGAAGAGCATCGACTGCCACCAAGGATGGCCCAACTTTGGCCACCCACATGGCGAGCTCGGATCGAAATTTAGCACGGGCGTGGTCTGAATGCGAACAGAGCTCGGGAGACCCGAAAACTCAGATGCCTACTTGGCGCACTGATCGGCGAAGCCCCCCCTAGTTTGTTTTTTTTTAAACAAAAAAAAAAAAAAAAAAAAAAAACCTGGCCCGCTGCGACGGCCGCGCGCGCGACATGCCCTTTCACTCTGACCAAAGAGACCCCCCCCCAGTCCGCTATCTCTTGCCACGCCGCGCGCCACAACTCAGCCCAAGCACTTTCGGCCGAACGCGTTTGGACAGGGCCGCGCTCGAGCAAACGGCCCACTATAAAACCCGACTCGCCGAAGAAGACTGCGCCTGGCGGCGAGAAACACAAGCCCTGCAGCAGCGCCCACAGCTCGAGGGCGTCAATGTCTGCTGCGGGGTGCTGAAACGAGCCCGCAAAGATGGCCCCGGTGCTGCGTGAGTCCTGGGGGGCCTGGACGCACGATAAGCCGAGGCCATGCTGGGCCAGCGACAAAAAGCCGCCGCGCACACTTCCGTCCAGAAAAGGGGGAAGATTTTTTTTTTATAAAAAAAAAAAAAAAAAAAAAAAAAAAAAAAAAAAAAAAAAAAAACGCCCCGCAGGAAACCACCCCCGCAAAGCAAGAACCACGGAGGCCTATGCGCAGGAGACAGGGCGGGCATCGGAACTCGCGGACGCTCAGCGAGGAGACGAGGCAACTCACCTTGACGCGCCAGTGCCAGCATGCCTGCAAAGAGCGGCGGCGAGGCCCCACGCGCTTCTTCCTGAAGGGGCAGGAGGGGTGACGATGATGAAGCGCGTCAAAGGCCTCACTGCACGCTAAACACTGCAACTGCTGCGAAAGCCCAGCATCAAACTGTCGCTGATGGGGCCATTGTCTGAAGCTACGCTGCGAAGATACGCTGCGCCACGAGGGCTGACCTTTTTGCTGCGGGCCACTTTCAGGAGAGGGCGCAAACTCAAGACACCCCAGATGGTCCGCCACCTGCCTCCAAATCCACGCGCCCACCAAACCGCCCATAATCGACCCCAGAAAGCGATCCCCATCGACGGGAGGGGCCACTGGGGGCCTTGCACGGCGATGCCAAGTCGCAGCGCCGAGGCAACGAAGGCGCTGAAGGGGCCGCGGATGCTTCGCCATGGGGAGGCGCACTCAAGAAGCCTACTCCAAGCTTCCTCCAAAACACTGCATAGGATAAAACGGGGCACCCAGGAATCCCAAAGGGCGGAGGCAAGGACAAGCAGCGGGCCCCTGCACAGCTAGTCGGCAAGGTCGACCTTGTCAGCATCCCGAGAGCTGCATCATGAGCGAGTCGGAACGGCCACAAACCCGAGCTGCTTCAACTTGCGCCTGCCGGTGTCGAGACTCGCGCAACTAAGTATCGGTTGTGCCGAGGACCTGGCGCCCATGCGACGCAGACGACAAAACCGCCGACTGGGCCACGTGGCGCAGTTGCTTGCGCTTCAAGAGGCAACATTATGAGAGCAGCTTGCCGCGCCGCGCGCGCGCTGGAGGCGCTCGGCAAACCTGGCGAGCTGCCGGCTACCTCCAGAAAAATCGGCGACTCGATTGCGTTCATTGGCGACCCCCTGGGCCGAGAGCCGCTTCAACCGATCCTGGAGCTCCTGGCGCAGGTCGACGGGCGAGGCGACGAGCAGGCTCTTCGAAAGCTTGATCTTCAAATCTGCTCTAGCAACCCCAGGGTGAACTAACTCCGTCGCCCCTGTCAACTTTCTCATTACATGCTCTTCCAAACCACACAGGTGCAACCCAACATCGTCAACCACCACCCCCTTCTCAAGTGCCGGGAAGGCACGACTGACGGCGTCGAGAAGCTGCAGAACCACGAGCTGTAGCATGAGGGTAGCAAAGTGGGAACCTGGCACGACTGCTTGCAACGCGTGAGCACACTCCGACGCACCGCCGCCCAAGTCAAGCACGCGCGGAGCACGATGCAACTGGATGAGCAGCTTCAGCTGGCGCAAGGGGAAGTTGGTGGCGATCGCTGCTGCCAGCAATCGCGCGCGCGAGATCTGCCTAGAAGTTTTCCCCAAATCCAGGAGAACTAACCACTGGCAGAGCCGCGGCCCTGGGCCCGCTCAGTCCTGGCAGACTGCATCCAAACTGGCCTGGCGGAGCCGCGCCCAGCCGTGGCCAACCAAAAATCGCAGAAGTTTTCTGTCTGCCAGGCGCGCGCAAGGGGCCCGCGGGGGCGGCCCTGCAGATGCGCGACGCTGCGAAGGAGGCCGATCGGCCCGAGTCCCCTGCGCGATTTATAAGAGAGAAAATCTTACTGCACATACCTGGTCGTTCGCAACGCGACTCAATGGCCTTGCGTAGCTGGGTGGGAACCTCTATGGCCGCGCCAGGGAGACGGTCGAACTGGCGAGGCGAAACGCCATCGAAACCGCAGCCCAAACAAGCAAAACACGGGGGGGGGGGGAAAACAAAAAAAAAAAAAAAAAAAAAAAAAAAAATCCCTGACGGCCGGCTCGGGAAACAAAGGCCCGAGATCGGCTGGCCACGCAAGTGGCTCGCGAGGCTGATCGACCTTCCACCAGCGGCGCCACTCGGCGGCGATGGCACACATGTCCTGCTGAGGAGACGCCGGGGCGGGCAACAGAGTGCCCTCGTTGCCGAGCGCTCAGCGGAGTGCCGCGGCATCCGAGAGCGCGCGAGGGCAAAGAGGGCAGCGGCTCCATCGACAGCGCAGTCCCGGACCCACTGGCGCCAGCCAGCACTCTCGGCATTAGCCGCCGCCTCGTGCTCTCGAGCAGTTTCGGCGCGGGCCCCTGTTTCAAAAAGCCGAGCCAGCTCATGCGACAAGTCTCTGGCATCGCCCAGAGCAGCCAAACACGACTGCGCATCATCGGGGGCATTGGCGAAGCGCGCCTGCGCCTCGCGCAGAAGCTAGTTGCGCGCAGCCAGCGCACGCTGGCGGAACTGGGACGAGCGCCAGGAGCTCAGGCTGCGAAGAGCGTAGGCCACGCGTCTCCACCAGACAGCGAGGGCGCTCAGACGAGGGAGGGGTAGCCGATGAGGAGCTCGACACCGTACTTGATCCAGTCGCAACCCTCGACCACGACCGGAACGGCATCTACGCGTTGAGGGACGATCTGAGAGATATCGAGAAACTGCTGCTCTGCCAGGCCCACGAACCGAGCCCTCAAGTCGTGCACAATGCCTTTTGGTCGCGGGACCGCCTCCTGGACCTGCTGCCATCGCTGCTGCCAATCATGCGCCTCGCAACCGCGAGGCCGAAGCTGAGGGGGCCGACGGGGCGCAGACGCTCCGAGCACCATCACATCATGAACCGAAAAGGAGAGCTGCAGCAGCATAGGCTCGTGCAGATCGGTGGCCACCGACGAGAAGGCCACGCATGGAATGATTCTGCTGCAATGAAAAACGAACAACACAATAGTCCAAACACTTGCTGCCGCCTGCGTGTGAGCACGTCGGAAAAGACGGGGCCAACATCACCGCGTCCAGGCTGTTCCCACATGGAACCTCTCAAAATCTCGGGCGTAATAATCCTATCACCGAGGATGACGAAGAGCATATCGAACTCCTTGACAATCACGGACTCCGCATAGGATGGACCATTTAGCCGCGGCCGGTCCAATGCTGTGACATGGGTACACCCCTATCCACAAAAGGCCGCCTGCACGACGACCGCCATTGTAGTGCAACGACTCTGCCAGGCGCAATGTCTGCTAGAACCAGTTCAAGCCCGCTGAAACCATGGGCCGCCGTCATCGTGGCAACCCACCCTGTCGTGCCCTTGTCAGACATGGGGGCAACTGCTCCAACTCGCGCGTGCCAGCCTGCACGCCGAAGCCGATGTTCGAGGGCGGCGCCGTCGAGCTGATGATGCCCCTGAACACAGACTGCATCAGCGAGGCGTACGTCCGAATCAGCCAGAAGCTCATCCAGACCAGCAAAGCCCGGGACGTTCGAAGTCACGAAGGTGTAGCTAAACTGACTGCTCTGGAGGCTGACTCGATTCGCTGTTGGAACGAGCCTTCTTCGCGAGCGGCTCCTTGGCCTTTGGAAGAGGCCGGTGGCCAACTCATGCTTAATGCCACGCTTGGGGTCCATTTCATCGATGAAGGACTTGTCACCGAAAAGGTTGTCGAGCTCCATGTCGACGGGAACGGTTTTGTCGAGGCTTCCTGCGGGAGCTGGACCAGCACCTGCTGGGTCGCCCCCTGCCTCGCTGCCTGCGGCACCGCGAGCAGGAGGAGACGGAGGGGCGCCAGCAGCGGGAGCAGCATCAGGAGGGCCGCCATAGCCAAGCTCTTGGGCCATAGCCCCCAGCTGCTCGAGCAGGCGCGCATGCTTCTCCTTGGCGGGGCCCTCCTCAGCTGGCTCAGCGCGCGCATGTCCTTGGCCCAGACCTGGAAGGCAGCCTCACCCTCTGCAAGGGCTCCCAACTTCGCGCTTCGCGCTTCGCGCTGCGCGAAGCGCGGAGCGCGGAGCGCGAAGCGCGAATGGCTCCGCGCTCTCGCGCCGCCTCCCAGGGGGGAAGAGGAGGATGAGGAAGCGGAGCCGAGCCGCGAAGCGCGAAGCGCGAATCACTTCGCGCCCTCGAGGGCGCCCCTGCTCTGTGGCCAGGGG